ATCTTAGAAAACTTACCTACCTTATTTATAACAAGAACAATTTATTTTAACCTAAACCCAACTAGATATATTTTAGATCTGTTTACAATAATTAAATACTAAACAAACACAGTGAAATATATTTTTTTTTTGTTAGGTTCAGAATGATTTTGGCGAAATTATTGCAAACACAAATTTTCACTTGTCCTATATGGCAAGATGAGCGTTGCTATTTAAGCCAAGATGCAAGTTCTTCCTATTCGGCACGACATATATATATATATATATATTATATATATATATATATATATATATATGTATATTATTGTAACCACGAACGAGTGATATTGATCAATAACAACACTGCACTAGCCAAGGACTCGAACCCATGCTGTTTTGGCCTGCCTCATGGTGGGCGAAAACACATGACGCCCTAATCCACTGGACCACATGATCCTTATGAGCAGCGCATCCAGCGGAACTGGATGTTATACTCGCTACCCAAGGACACACGATGGTGTGCATGACTCTAGGCTAATTTCATTCTAGTCCCTGTTTGATGTACTAGTAGAACGAGCAGTATTTTATATTATTGTAACCACGAACTGGTGTTTTCGTCCACCTTATTATAACAAGCGCAATTTTATTTAGCCTAATTCAACTAAATATATTTTAGATACTTTTACGATAAATTTGTAATGAACAAACACAATGAAATATTCTTTTTTTTTGTTAGGTTCAGAATGATTTTTGCGAAATTATTGAATATACAAATTTTCGCTTGCCTTATTCGGCAAGAAGAGCGTTGCCATTTAAGCCAAAATCGCAAGTTTTGCTTATTCGGCACGACATACATATACTATATATAAACTTGGACGAAGTGTTACTATAATGTTAAATTTTGCAAACTTAACAAAATTAGGACTCTAGTTATTAGAAGGACGGTTACATAATAAACTTGAGTACGTTAATGAAGATTATGCAAAGTTAAAAGAGATTCTACAGGTTTATCATACGTCTTTAGCCGTAGAGTCATTAGACTGGACGAAGAAGAAACCATACCACGGGAGGGATTAGAACCCACGATCAGAGTCATGAAACTCCAGTCCGACTCTCAGATCGCGGGTTCTAACCCCGCCCGTGGTATGGTTTATTTGCAGTCGTGTCATTAACGATTTCGTGAGTCATGTCGACGTAGAAGGCCTGACGAGTAGCCGGGGAGGAGCCCCGAACTCGCTCCAATAATTTTTTGTTTTTCACTCTCTAGTCAATTTTAGTCTGTCTAGGACCCTAGGTGGAGAAGATTCACTGATGCAGATTTGCGATAGTGCATCATAACACAATAATTGAAGTTCGCCGTGTACCTGCTGACTGGATATCTCGTCTGCTTTCATATATCAGTAATTATTGTAGATACATTATATATATATTCTGTGGATAACTGGCTTTATTCCTGTGAGATGATAGAGAGCCTATCCAAAAAGTGCCTGGAGCCACAGAAATATTAAGGTCAATAAAGGATGAAGGTGAAAAATGTAAAGTGAGCTTTTGATTGAATAAAGAAAAAGAAGCCAAAAAGGAGAAACAAAACAACATGACAAAAATACAGAACACAGATAACAAAAGAGAACAGTGAAGTTATCAGACGAGTTAAGCATGATAAGAAGGGACGCAGAGCAGCATTTCAAATATGATATAGCACGATTAGCTGAAATAGAAGAGAAACTGCTCCATGGCCTCATTCAAAGGAAATTAATAAAATAATAAGTAATAAGGCTGAAGAAAGAAGGAAGTGCGATAACTGAAAATTAGAGAAAGAGAAATACTAAGAGATAAGCGCAAAATTTAAGGAGGTATTTATTAAGAAAGCAGTGATGTTACCAAAATAATATACTATACCTAACAGCTGTCCAACAGAAGTAATTGAATATCCACACATAGAGGGAGGAAGCGATCATGTTCCGAAAGAGTTGAAATACAGCAGAGTATCAATGCATATTCTCTAAAAGTAGAGTCGTAGATATCTGGTAACCGGCTTCACGATGCTTAGACTCTCTTATGTTCTGCGAGGCAGTAGCCCAGAGACAGGCGTTCCTAGTGATGCTGTAAGCGAGTGCCACTGTGACCTTGTAGGTTTAGCTCTTCTTTTTGATTATAATAATAATGTAGTCGAGTGTTCCAGTGTCTTCTCCATTATTATTATTATTATTATTTCATTTACGTGAAGCGCTAAACCCGTGTAGGTTAGTTAACATAGGAGAACAAAGGCTCGAAACTCAAGCTTCTAGTCGAGAAACTCAAATCCCGGTATCACAACGAAAGTTTTTTCCTTCTGTGACAGACGTTGGTGGAAGTATTGAGGAATCACAGTAGTCGACGAAGACGCTGGAGGTGTTCTAGAAAACTGCTGTAGTAAGAACAGCCTGCAAGATCATGGCTTCAAGCAGTGTCGTGAAAATTATCACTATCTGGCTAGTTGGTTTCAGCCATCTTGCCTCAGGCCAGGACAATGATAATAAAGGTAATGTATATTTAAATCCTTAATCTGCTTTCTTAATAGGATTTAATGTCTGTCGACTACAGTAAGGTCATTAAGGCTGCACCGAAACCATATCACTATCAGAGTAGGTTACTTTAATCCATAAAACAAGGATTAAATTAACCTCTCAGCAGGTATATTCTGAGAGAAAAACACCCTTAAAGGTATATATCCTGAGCACTATTGTGTCACATATACAGTACACTACAGGGGCTTGTGTGTCAAGGTAATGTTTATATAATAATTAGTGTGACAAGGTAATATTGATAAAGTAATTAGTGTGTTAAGATAATATTTTTGACAAGTTACTTTCCTGATAATTGGAAGCTCGGCCTTTATTTAAAATATTTCGGTGAAAATATGAATTATAGAATCAAACATTATCACATCAGCTCCAAAATTTACCATATTTAGCAAATTTAGCATATTTAGCATATGCAATGGGGAACAGAACAACTTAAATAACATCTCAAGGCCTAAATCTCGAACACTTCGTCCAGTGATTTTAAATCATTTACCCAACTGCGGCAGGCCAGGACTCGACCCTACGAACCTTGTACCGCCTCCAGATAAAGCACAATGTAAGCATTACCTTACCTCTGCGCCACCGATCCTACAAGTTTCACGCATGCAGCTGAGCTACACGTAGGGTCGAGTCCTGGCCTGCCGCAGTTTGGTAAATGATTTATAATCACTTGTTTCGTGATTTCATTACTATATAGACTGCTTGTGGAGGCGAGTATTCAAACAGGAGGAGGCTGAAATTAATCCTTGAGATACCACTGCCACGAGTGTCCTCGGATCACGAGAAAAACATGTAGCTCAGCTGCATGCGCGATTCTTGTGCGGTCGGTGGCACAGAGGTAAGGTGATGCATACATTGTGCTGTCTCTGGAGGCGGTACAAGGTACATATATATATATATATATATATATATATATATATATATATATATATATATATATATATATATATATATATATATATATATATATATATATATATATATATATATATATATATATATACTATGTGAACATTTATTAATAAACAAAATACATTTACAGAAAAAAACATAAACATGAATACAATGGCACAATGTATCAAAGATCATGAATTTCCTCCAGCTCCTCCGAGGCTGGACGTGAGCCAAGTATGCAGCAAGCATTTCCCCTCTGGATGGCGACGCTGAGGCGCTGGAACATGAAAGTGGCTGCCCTTGGGTCCCTGGTGGTGTCGATGAGTCTGGAACCAATTCTTTAAGGAAACGTGTGGCATTTTTTCCCCATGATCCCACGGTCTCTGATCCCACTGGGACAAATTAATACTGTTGGCTAATGTCCCTGTACTTGCTGATCTTGTACTCCTCCCTGTGGTCAGCAGCTCCTCCCTGTCGCCCACACTGTGATGGATATAGGTGTCAGCCAGTGTGGACACACAGGTATAGTCCCATGCTAAGAGCTTGCCATTCTTCCAAGGATAGATGGTGATCCCGTCGGGGCGGTTTGCTGGGTTGTGGGTATTGTTTGCTGCAAGTGATCGTGGCTCCCTCTCGGCAGGGCATCCAGCTGTAGCAAGGGTTCTCTTAATGATGTCGTTGACCTCATTGTGTCTTGCATGCCAGCCCTTGGTTTTGGAACAGTTAAGACCATGTAGACCGTATTGGTCTGCTTGCACTTCGCCGCAAATACACATATATTCTGTGTGAATTGGGGCAGCAAGGCGTAGAGCCACTGCAATACGGAGGGTCTTAGGGTCGAGTCACGTTCCCATTGCCGATATGGGAACTGTTTGGAGGAAGTCCCCGGAGTGAGTTGCACTCACAGCCTGGAGACGGGTAATCTCCCTATCTGATGTTGCAGCCCTGAGCATGTTGGCAAGCACCTTTTCAGCAATTGGGCTATCCCAGCTTGACTGTTTGTGAGCCAGTGCTGCACTAGGGTTTGGTGCTGGAGCAGCAAGAGTCTCCCATTCGGTGATGGCACTGACATAGCTAGGGTCTTCTATTCCTGCTGAGTCACTGAGGGTGTCAGGAAGAATTTGTCTTATCAACTCGTCTGATGCAATGGAAGAGGATAGGAAAGCTGGTAGAGCAATCTGGGAGGATCTGCGTACTCCTAGCCCTCCAAGCCTGACCGGAAGTGAGGCTTGCAACCACTGTCCATCGTCAAGGGAAAGATTCAATACACTCTCTAGCATGGCCTTCAGGAGAGAGTCATATTCCTTGAGTTTTGGACTGCTGAAGGCTGGGGAGCATCTCAGAAAATAGGTAAGTTTTGGGATTGACAGGCACCTGGTGAGTAGGTAGAAGGCATCGTGTGTGTCAATGTCTTTCATCCTGCTTTCCATCGTCCGGAGGTCTGAGACTTTTTTTCCTAGGATCAGATCGATGGCATTGGACCCAAGAGGAGCACCGAGGAGAGTGCTATTGGCTGGATCAATGGCTCGTGCTCCTGGTAAAACGGCACTAATATTCTGGATCATCTGTTGATTGGTAGAAACTATTTCACATTTGGTGGGGTTTAAAGAAAGGCCCAGGCTTTATATATATGTATATATATATATATATATATATATATATATATATATATATATATATATATATATATATATATATATATATATATATATATATATATATATATATTATATATATATATATATATATACATATACATTATATATATATACATATATATATACATATATATATATATATATATATATATATATATATATTATATATATATATATATATATATATATATATATATTATATATATATATATATATATACATATATACATATATATATATATATTATATATATATATATTTTATTATATATATATATATATATATATATATATATACATATATATATATATACATATATATATATATATATATATATATATATATATTATATATATATATATATATTATATATATATATAGATATATATATGCGTGCCGAATAGGCAGAACTTGCGATGTTGGGCTTAATAGCAACGTTCATCTTGCCATATAGGACAAGTGAAAATTTGTGTATGCAATAATTTCGCCAATCATTCTGAACTAACGAAAAAAAATATATTTCACTGTGTTTGTTCAGTATTAAATTATTGTAAACAAATCTAAAATATATTTAGTTGGGTTAGGCTAAAATAAGTTGTTCTTGTTATAATAAGGTTAGGTAAGTTTTCTAAGATTCTTTTGGCGCAAAATTAAAATTTTTTACATTAACATTAATGAAAAAAATATATCTTTAAACGTATAAAAGAAAATTTCAGAAAGAACTTAATTTTAAATGAGTTCTTGCTAATTGACCAGTTTTTAGTAGGTTGGTAGACAGCAACCACCCAGGGAAGTACTACGGTCCTGCCAGATGACTGTGAAACAAAAACCTGTAACTGTTTTGCATGATGGTAGGATTGCTGGTTTCTTTTTCTGTCTCATAAACACGCTAAGATAACAGGGATATCTTGCTACTCCTACTTACACTTTGGTCATACTTCACAAACACGCACATGCATATATATATATACATACATCTAGGTTTTTCTCCTTTTTCTAAATAGCTCTTGTTCTTTTTTATTTCTTCTATTGTCCATGGGGAAGTGGAAAAGAATCTTTCCTCCGTAAGCCATGCGTGTCGTATGAGGCGACTAAAATGCCGGGAGCAATGGGCTAGTAACCCCTTCTCCTGTATACAATTACTAAAAAAGAGAAGAAGAAAAACTTTATAAAACTGGGTTGCTTAAATGTGCGTGGATGTAGTGCGGATGACAAGAAACAGATGATTGCTGATGTTATGAATGAAAAGAAGTTGGATGTCCTGGCCCTAAGCGAAACAAAGCTGAAGGGGGTAGGAGAGTTTCAGTGGGGGAAATAAATGGGATTAAATCTGGAGTATCTGAGAGAGTTAGAGCAAAGGAAGGGGTAGCAGCAATGTTAAATGATCAGTTATGGAAGAGAGAAAGAGAATATGAATGTGTAAATTCAAGAATTATGTGGATTAAAGTAAAGGTTGGATGCGAGAAGTGGGTCATAATAAGCGTGTATGCACCTGGAGAAGAGAGGAATGCAGAGGAGAGAGAGAGATTTTGGGAGATGTTAAGTGAATGTATAGGAGCCTTTGAACCAAGTGAGAGAGTAATTGTGGTAGGGGACTTGAATGCTAAAGTAGGAGAAACTTTTAGAGAGGGTGTGGTAGGTAGGTTTGGGGTGCCAGGTGTAAATGATAATGGGAGCCCTTTGATTGAACTTTGTATAGAAAGGGGTTTAGTTATAGGTAATACATATTTTAAGAAAAAGAGGATAAAATAAGTATACACGATATGATGTAGGGCGAAATGACAGTAGTTTGTTGGATTATGTATTGGTAGATAAAAGACTGTTGAGTAGACTTCAGGATGTACATGTTTATAGAGGGGCCACAGATATATCAGATCACTTTCTAGTTGTAGCTACACTGAGAGTAAAAGGTAGATGGGATACAAGGAGAATAGAAGCATCAGGGAAGAGAGAGGTGAAGGTTTATAAACTAAAAGAGGAGGCAGTTAGGGTAAGATATAAACAGCTATTGGAGGATAGATGGGCTAATGAGAGCATAGGCAATGGGGTCGAAGAGGTATGGGGTAGGTTTAAAAATGTAGTGTTAGAGTGTTCAGCAGAAGTTTGTGGTTACAGGAAAGTGGGTGCAGGAGGGAAGAGGAGCGATTGGTGGAATGATGATGTAAAGAGAGTAGTAAGGGAGAAAAAGTTAGCATATGAGAAGTTTTTACAAAGTAGAAGTGATGCAAGGAGGGAAGAGTATATGGAGAAAAAGAGAGAAGTTAAGAGAGTGGTGAAGCAATGTAAAAAGAGAGCAAATGAGAGAGTGGGTGAGAAGTTATCAACAAATTTTGTTGAAAATAAGAAAAAGTTTTGGAGTGAGATTAACAAGTTAAGAAAGCCTAGAGAACAAATGGATTTGTCAG